GGCAAGCGCCCCATCAACCCTGGATGTACCCATGAGGAATTCAGACTCTGGGCAAAGTCAAACAAGCCAATACCAGGGAATCCAACAGATTTTCTGCACAAGACGGATCCCTCACACATCCATAAATAATACTCCTTTTCAAGCTATTAAGTATTGGATGCCCAATTTGGAAGTCGCCAATGCTTTCCTTTAATACATGGAAAAAAAGAATTCAGTAACTATTCTGCATTGAGCTTGTTTATTTGCTAATGTCCAGCTAGCACCTAATCATAGATTGCAAGCCTATAGTTTAACGTATGATTCATTTTGTAAATTATGCATTGTATTTACTTGATTTCGCTAGTCTCCATGGAAGTATTGGCTCCATGGTAATGTTTATATCAGGATGAATCTCTGATTCATAATCTCCATTCTTCACTGGCGAATGTTACACCAAGGTAGTCTGAAACAAAACAGATGTAACAAGTTTTCAAATCATTAGCCAGAAGAATCTGACAGTAAACAAAAAGTAAATTTATGGCTGCCATCTTTGTATCCAATATTGTTATAATGATGAAAATATTATAATCTGTCTTTTCAATTCCTGCAGTTTTTGTTTTGTCACTGGACTTGATTTTTCATTCCCAGTGGATTTAGAAATATTGACAAAAGGATGAACTCCCAGCTTGGATTCCAATATGGTAGCCACATGACTTTTCCTAGACGGCCAGACCATCTCTATCTGAAGAACACTTACAATGACTTTTTCTATACACGGATGCTTTGATCTCCTCATTTGTCCTACTAGCATTGTTTTTTTGCGGTAAAATTAAAAAGAAAGATCGAGGATACCTTCTGAAATTCCCAAAGAAGCACAAAACCCAGACCTCAAAAGTCATTTATCACTGTTTCCTTGCTTACATTTTACCTCAATTCACTAATATAAACGTACCCTCCTAAGTCCATTCTTGGATGTCCAAGAACATAGTTTGGCTCATGAAGCTTAATACCATATGCAAAGCAAATTAAATTTTTGCCAAGCCATCTGTTTTAAAGCACTGCTATCCTGGGTAAAGAAATTTTCAAGAAATGAATGGAAAAATGAGGCCCCAAATGATGGCAAATTTCATTAACAGCACTGAAAAACAAATATAGCTCTTATTCAAACTTCCAGACATTACCACATCTTGGGTTGCTCACATGACAAATGTTCTGAGCAGTCCATTCCTCCAGAAAAAATTAGAATGATACAGACAGTATCATACTCTTTGCTGTTCTGGTTGCATACCAATGTAAATCAACCTCCATTTCTATTACCTCCCACTTGCTTCCAGCCATTCTGTGTAAAACAAAGTTGGTTACACATTAAAGTAGTCCTGATTAAAGCTTGCAACCCAATGGTCCCTAAGAGGGTTTCTTGGAATCATAGAAGTTTTTGGAGTTCCTTCTCTGATGGTAGAAACTGATGCCTGCCCTCAGATGAAGATCTGACCTTATACGTTTCCTCTTTGAGGCTGTGGGAAGGTATGCAGTCCCTGCCAAGGATCTTTCAGTGTTGGAGAATGGGGAAATGCCAGAGACATGTTCAGAGATGTGGATCTGCAGAATATACATTCACAGAGGGGGAGACTGAAATACTTCTAAAAGTGTGGTTATGTTTATGGATCACTGTTTAGTGCAGGGATGCACAGCAACTAGAAGACTGTGCTCTCTAGTTGTTGTGAACAGTGTTTCTCAATCCCAGAAATATCAATTCCACCAGCATTTCTTTGCTAATAATCATATTGCTACATTCAACTCTCTGAGCCTACACAAGTGAAGTGTTCAATGCATTCTGACATTCATTGCCCAACGCTCTCATTCTGAATCCTTCTGTGTCTTCCCCTTAGGGAAGGAGCACTGTGAAAGCAGGCACACCTCCACTCCTGTTGCTGTGGCCCTAATTGGACCTCTCTCCAAAGATGATGTCTGGTGACTGGGTCTACTTCTTCAAGTGGTGGGAGTTCCCCATCTGAAAAACTACCTATTTCAATATCTCCTCCCAGAGGAGGCTTCAGCTCCTACCCATTCCCATGGCCCCATTGACTGGGCCCCTCAACTGCCCTTGAGCTAAGCTCCTCCATCTCCACATTTTGTGGAGTCGCAAGTCCTTGAGCCACAGCTGGGCTTGGACCATTTCACAAAGTCTCATTCTCATAGGCTGAGTAGTCAGTCCCACCAATATGGGTATCTTCTCATTGTGTGCCTCTTTGTCATTACCATTATCACCTCAACTGTCAGTTCTGCCAAAGCAGGCAGCCTCCTGTGTGTGCATCTGAGCTCTGGCAGGATGTGTGCGCACAGCCCTACCCAATCCACAAGCTATAAGTAGGGGTTTTCCTTAGTGCACCATTTGCACCCCCAATTGGGAGGATGAGCAGTACACTAAATGATTTATTTAGTTCCCCAATTGCCTTCGGTGAAGGCAACGTACAGAATGGAGGTGCTGGAGAGCCCATGAGCATCAACACCATGTCTCAAGCTGTGGATCCTTTGGCATAAGTGATGGGCAAGGCTGGGGATGATCCTCCTGGAATCAGGGTCTCTTTGGCTTGCTGGACCTCTTTCTCATGCTTGGCCCTGGCTCAGGAAGTGAGCCGAGCCAAGATGAAGTCCGCAAATGCTAGAAGAACGCCTCACAGAACCTTTGGCAGAACACACAGCACATATTCAAAGCCCACAAATCACACCCGCCAAAGAGGGGCTCCGCTTGCATGGTGGGTGTGCAGACTCCATTCCTCAATTTGCCCTTGCAAATGCTCAGCAGGCTTGGTGCCAAGTTGGACTTGGAGCTGAGAAAAACAGGGCTGGAGTCTGGGAAGCTGAGCTGTAGGAATCAGATGGATTTCCACCCCCAGACCAGATTCCTGATGCATTCCAAGGTGGGCTTGCTTTGCCCAGAGAGAGAAGCCCTACAGTGAAGCTGAGTGCTGAGGATGTTAGGAAACACGGCCAAGCCTGTCCCCCATTGACTGCATAGCTCTATCCCTTCATGTTGTCTCCATTCCCTGCTGCATCAAATAAGCTGCGACACTCCTGTTTTAGTATTGTGAAGATCAGAACAAAAAGCTGAGTTTTCATTCAAACCAGTACATCAACCAACCAAATATATCAATAAAATTTCCTACTACTCTTCCTGGATTTCTCCAAGAATCATCAGGCTATCATTAACTTGATTAGGTCTGGTTATTCCAAGAATTCGCCTCCAGCTTGTAGTTCCGCCTGAACTGGAGAAAGGTGCAGGGCTTGCTTTATTCAGCAGGCAGAAATAAACTCATTGTTTGTCACACACAAACAGCATGATTTGAATGGGAAGTGACATACTTTGCCAGGTTGGTTAGACTCCATGTGTAACTGTGTAGAAAGGTTTTGTGAAGAGGGCAGTGTGGGAAGATAGTCAGCTACCAGCTCTGTAATTTTGGCCTTATAGGAGAAGGTCTTGGATGAAATATGCAGGAATGTCCCTGCCTCAAGGAAAGATGAATGATCATTTGAGATAGCAGATTCAAAGGGAGCAACCAATGCAGGTCTTACTGGTAGGTGGAGTGATTCCAATGCCTCCGGTAGAGAATGCTGTGGGATTTGTGGCTCCTCCTGAGCCCTCAACAATTCCCCTCTCCTAGCGGGCTAAGCTTAGTGTTCTTATACCCCATACATTAGTTTACTACCCTTGGGTGTTGGTGCTGTGCAGCATATAGTAGCTTGAGTTAAAATAAGATTCTGCTGTCATTCTGGTTGGCTCTTGTGCATGGATTTGGGGTTTCCCCAGATAATACTTTCCCATTTTTTTCAGTAGCTAAGTCTTGAACGATGGTTTCACATATGAAGATGCTGTTGACATTCATTCTCATAATGAGTGGGACTCAAATATGTGCAGCACACAAACCAGGTATTACTTCTTTCCTCCTCTTGTTTTAAAATAGTGAAAAAACAGATTTTTTTCTGCAAGAGAGAAAGAGAGGCTGGGTAAGGGATATGGGAAGTAAACAGAAGCTTGGGAACACATCCCCCAAAGTAGTTCCCGGGAGCTTTGTCTGCTGCCTTCCATAAGAAGGTCATTTTATTGTCCCAGACTTTTAACGTATCTTTTAACACTTTTTGGAATGTTATTTTAATGCGGAAATGTCTGGCCGATGTAGCCGTACTCTTTGTTTGCTTTATTAGTTTTGTTAGAAGTTGTTCCAGTGTTGTTTTTAATGTGCCTTTAGCTGCTTTTAGAGTTCTTAGAACTGAGCTGCAATGAAATGCTTCCTATAATGAATGGGTGAATGTGCCAGGGTGGTGCAGGGGCGGAAAACAGCTCATGGACTAGGCAAACCTACTGTCCTCCAGATCTTTTTTCACTACAGCTTGCACAGTCCCTGACAATTGACCGGGCTGTCTGGGGTTTACAGGAGCTGCAGAGCACCTCTGCATGCAAGCCAAAAGTGCTTTAGAGAGAAGGATTGTCCTCTGGGTTCATAGTGCAGTTAATAGCCTATTTATTTATTTAAAACATTTATGCACCAGCTAATATTTCAATGAAATCTCAATGCTGTTTACAAAGACAATAAGACAATAATAACATTAACAGCACAACAGTACTTCAATTAAAGAAGTAGTATTCAGTGTATAAAATAAAAGCATTCAAATATTAAAATACTGGGGAAATAGAAAGGTTTTAGCCTGGCACCAAAAAGAATAAAGAGTCGGTGCTAGGTGTACCTCTCTGGGGAACAGATTCCACCGTAGGGGCCTGCCCCCAACTTGGTGGCCTCCTGGTGTGTTAGACTACATCTTCTATCTTCCCTAGTCAGCATAATTGGAGAAAGGCTGTATATCAATTATACAGATTAACTGTAAAAGCTTGGGGCACACAAGGAACTGTATGCCTGTGTGGAGGGATGGATTCACACGTTCTGGCCCTGCCCTGCATTCACTGGAGTCAGTGCAAGGGTAGGACACGTGGACATTCCAATCTGTGTTATTTGTATCCTGCAAAAATGGAAGGTACAGAGCGCGTATTCAAAGTTTACATGCACTGGGCTATTCAGGGTTTTGCCTCTTTCCAGTGAACACATGCAGATCAGGTATGGGGCCAGCTATGAAAGAGGGACAAATTCATTACCTAATTTTGCAGTTTCAAAATATCATGTGAACTGGAGCTCAGTGATTTTTAAAAATTCACACTTGCTCAGATTTCACACTAAAGTTTTCCAATCAAGAATGGGCAGGAAATGTATATATTAAGAAATGACATTAAAATGCAGTATAGCAGAATAATTGCTTGAAAAACTTTAGATTAGGCAAAAAGTGCATATAAAAAGCATATAAGAGAGGCATGCATTAAAATGATCGTGCATTTTTATGTGGACTTTAAAATAGAATTCTCAACATTTGGGACTACCAGAAATGAAGACACGAAAAATAAGAAACTTGGAGAAACCAAAATTGATAGATCTATCTATACATCCTTGGGGCAAAAAGCTATTATTTTCCCATTCAATATGTTCTGTTCTACTCTGTTTGAATGATTTTACATGACTAAAGACAACCAAAAACAATGAAGTAGGGAGGATAGAAACATTGGGTATGATGTTGTTTGCCAAATAACTTGATAAGTCACACGATTTAACATGCTTTTTGGCCTTGGGCCCTGCCTCCACAACCTCAATTATCTCTAGAGTAATCCTTTTGGTCTCATAGGCTGCCATGCTCCAGATTAATTACTCAAGTCTTTCCTTGTGCCCCATGAAAATTAAATACCATTACTCCAAGACTGTGTTCAGTAAGCACTACACTTTGGTGAGGCTTAATTTTATACTTTCTTTTTTCCTTTTAGATTCCAAATCTGCTGATATTGTTTTTTTGGTTGCTAGCAGTAGCCTATCTTCTGACCATGTCAAAATGTTTATTAGTGAAGCAATCCATAGTTTGCCACTAGATTCCAATGAGTTTCGCATAGCACTTGTTCAGTATAATGATCAGCTGCATAATGAATTCCAACTGGAAACCTATAAAGGAAAGATTCTAGTACTGAACCATATCAAAAACAAAATTGTGCTCAGAAGTGGCCCCATTAAAACTGGCAATGCTCTCCGCAAGATTCAGGAAACCCAATTTTGGAAACCAACAATTGGAAAAGGCAGGGCAAAGATTTTGATAGTAATGACACCTCATCCATCTGAAGATGATGTAGAAGAAGCTGCCCAAATGTTGCAGAAGAATGGAGTGAAGGTCATTGCACTGGGAATGCAGGATGCCTCTTATGATGAACTAATTCTGATGGCCACTAAACCATTTTATTTCTTTTTTCCAAGAACAGAAGAACTCACTTTGTTTACTCAGAACATTTCCAGGATCATTACTGATGCTGTTGACATAGGAAATAATACCCCAGATCTATCACAAACTACTAATGTGAACAGTGTGAATAATGGAACAATATTAGAAGGTAAGTTATCGAGATACAATGAATATATATATATATATATAGAAACATAGAAACAGAGAGAGTCAGAAGGGACCTCTCAGGTCATCTAGTCTGACCCTCAACTCTAGCCGGCTCCATTCACAACATGCCCACCATGTGCATTTCTAGCCTATCCTTGAACATCCACACTGATGGGGCCTCAACCACCTCCTGTGGAAGCCCATTCCATACCCTCGGGGTCCTAACTGTCAGAAAGTACTTCCTGGCATCTAAATTGAACCTTAGTTCCCTGAGCTTTGCTCCATTGGAGCATATCCTGCCCTCCTCTGCACGGGAGAACAGGTCTCTACCCAGCTCTGTGTGACACCCCCTCACATACCTATATGCCAACAGAGCCCCCTGGAGTCTACTCCAGGCTAAAAAGACCCAGTTCCCTCAGTCTCGCCTCATACGGCTTTCCCTGCAATCTGGCCATCATCCTTGTGGCCCTACACTGCACTGACTCTAACCTGGCTATATCCTTCCTGTAATGAGGGGCCCAGAACTGAACACAATACTCCAGTTGCAGGCGCACCAGAGTGGTAGTAATACCTCTCTCAATCTAGAAGAGTTGTACAGAGTGGTAGTAATACCTCTCTCAATGTATCTCAAAAATCCTCACTTTCTCAACCAGGATATCATGGGGAACTTTGTCAAAGGCCTTGTTGAAATCTAGGTAAACCACATCCACTGAGTTCCCTCCATCTAGCCACCTTGAAATCTTGTCATAGAATTCCATAAGGTCTGTCTGGCAGGACCTGTTATTGCGGAAGCCATTTTGTGTGGCCACCAGCCTCCCTTCCCCATCTAGCATCTGTAGATCTCTCTCTATTATGAGTCTTTCCATTGTTTTTCCTACAATGGACATAAGGCTAACTGGTCTGTAATTCTCCATGTTCCTTCTACTACCCTTTTTGAAAATTGAGACCACTGACGCCACCATCCAGTCCTCTGGAACGTCACCCATTCTCCACAAGGTCTCAAAAATGGAGGCCAGCGGGTGTGAGAGAACCCCTGCCAACTCTCGAAGTACTCTCGGGTGTAACCCATCAGGATATGGCACCTTTGTAACATCCAGTGCCCTGAGGAGCCCCTCAGCTTCTAGGGGGGTGACTCTAATCTGTGCCCCTAAGTCCCCGGCCTTATCTAATCTCCCAGGTGGATCTCCCCTGTCCTGCTTTGGGGAGAACACAGAGGCAAAACAGTCATTAAGCATCTGTGTCTGGATCCCCTTCCTCCTTATTTAGTGATCCCACTGCTTGCCTTCCCTTCCTCTTGCTAGTTACATGCTGATAGAAGCCCTTTTTGTTGCTCTTGATATTCTTGGCAAGTCTCAGCTTATAATCAGCCTTAGCCTTGAGAAGAATCCTTTTGCAATGGGCCTCCTCCTCCCGGTCTACACTTTTGTCTATTTGCCCCAGTACCCATTTCCTACGGAGGTTCCTCTTGTGTCTAATCCCTCTAACCACCTCCTTTTGCATCCATGGCCTCCTCCTCCTATGGGCGGCATGTCTCCATGTCTCTTCAGCTGTTCCTCCTGTGGCCCTTCCCTCAAGCCTCTGTCTGGAGGAGGACTGCTCCCAGGGGCCCTGGAGAGCTCTCTTGGCCCTCAGACACCTCACCTCCTCCTGGAGGAGGGTCACAAGCTTGCACCGAGGGCAAGTGTATCCCTGCCTCTCCCGACACCTGTGATTCCCGCCAAGGCCATCTCCTGGCCTGACATTGGGAACCCCTCAGAGACCCTACCTTGTTCCCCCGCCTTGTCTGTCCTGCACTACTTCTCACTTGCCCAGTTCTTGCCTTCGCCAGTCCCCTGGCCACCCTCAGCACACTCTCCTAGCCTCTGCCTCTGCTGCTCCGCTGCTCTGCCAGTTTTGCACATACAAATATATATGTTTATATGGATGTTATAAATGCCTAAGAATGGTAGAAACCAAAGTGCATTAATTAAGTTACCTGAAATAGCCAAGTAGTAGTCAAATATCAATGTCATGTTACCTCTCCATTACAGCTTGTGAAGGTGATGCAGTTGCTGATGTGGTATTCATAGTGGATGCAGGTTCTTCATCAACCAAATTTGAGAAGATCCAACTTTTTCTAAAAGACCTGGTGTCTTCCCTGGATGTGAAGGAGAAATGCATGAGGGTCGGCTTGGTGACATACAGCGATAAGCCCCAGGTGGTATTTTTACTGAGAATGGCAACTGATAGGACTCATGTCTTGCAGTACATACAAAACCTTTCTCCAAGGTCGGGAAAGGCCAACACTGGTTCCGCTCTTCGTTTCACAAGGGAGAAAGTCTTTACAGTAAGTGGAGGAAGCAGGAAGACTCAGGGGGTGGAGCAAGTTGCCATTGTGTTCACTCACAGGTCTTCAGAAGATGGTGTCAGCGATGCTGCAACTGTTCTCAGGAGGGCTGGTGTAACTCTGTTTGCCATTGGCGTTGAAGGGGCCAATGTCACCCAGTTAGTCCAGATAGCTGCTTACCCACCACGACGCTATGTTACTAATTTAAACATATTTTCCCATTTGCCACATCAAGCCCTGGTTTTCCATAAGAAGATTATGAATCAAATTCACCAAAAGCTCTATATGGACACCCAAAGAACAGAACTTCTCAAAAGAGGTAAAGTCTTGTCAAATGGCTGCTATTTGGGGCTCATACTTTGGGAGAGAAGTGCTAGAGGTTCATTTCTTCAGAAAAACCAGTTGGAAATCTCCAAAGGGGTGGCAAAAATATTGTTTTATTCTCAAAAACTTTATGAGAATAGTAGAGAAACTGAAAACTGAAAAACAAAGAACACAGGAACAGGAAAAGGGAAATATTCTTGAACCAGTGCCATAAAGCCAATGGTGTCATAGAACCTCACCTGGCTTTTTCAGGAATGTTGATGTCATCTGCCACCCTCATCAGCATTCTTGAATCCCTCTGAGCTGAGTCGCTCTCCTCACAGTAGCTGGAGACCAGAGATCACATTTCCCCTTCCCCTGCAACACTCTATTGTTATGGGTAATGTAACATCAATAATTTTGTGGTGACTTGGCGGTGAATAGGCAACTAAGACCCTATTCGGCACCTTGAGGGCACCTTGAGGGCCTGCACTTCAAAATTTACAATTTCAAAAGTTTTGACAATACAAATAGACTTCTGCAGCCCCTTGTCTGATTATTTTTCTCTTATTTCTCTCATGGGTTTGAACAGCTTTCTTGTTTCTGGTTAGTTCCTCAACCAATCAAAAGCCCACATTTCTACTTTTTGTTTTAACTTTGAAGAAACTCAGATATATAGACTCCAATTTTTCACCATGTCAAATGTGATTGATCTGCAGAACAGGTAGTTCTTCCACTGTACCTGGAGAGGATTCACTTACCATGATGTGGGATTAGTCCTGGAATATGATACTTGTTATGAATGGTGGTATTAATACTATCATGTGGGAGATATTTTGGAATGTATATTCTGATGACAAAAAGTTTTCCATTCAGCTTGCGAAAATAGCCAATGGCTCTTAGTGTCGCTTCCTAACATTTTGTTGGCTCAGCCCAGAGAGCCACAAGGGCTGTGGAAGTGTCCATGTAGGCCCCCGAGCTTGAGTTCTCACACAGAGCTCACAGCTTCTTGCCACATCTCCTAGTGGTCAAGGTAGGATGGGAGCAGGGAGAGGAGGAGAAACTAGTTTCAGTCCAAGTGAGTGCTCCCTCCACATCTCTCTCATAGTGAATTGTTGTGATGGTGAGAAGCTTCAAAGTTAATTCATGCTTCATGCTGACTGCCTTAGCTGAGGGAGAGGGGAAGAGGGCACCTTGCATGAGAAACTACTTCTTCTGCCTACTCCCATGGAATGTAACAACAATTTGGCATGGGAACAAAGCCCCCAGGGACCCTGCGCACATTGCAACACTGCAAATCCAAGTTTGTCATTAGATGCAGACTCAGCCAAAACTGAGCCTGGCTCCCTGGCAAGCTCATAAGAACATAAAAAAGCCATGCTGGATCAGACCAAACAGCCATCTAATTCAGCCCTCAGCGGCCAAACTGATATTTATGGCCAATGTAAATGCCGCAGCATTCTCTCAGCCTCACAACTGCCATACAGAGGCCTATTGCTCTATACTGAAGATAATATACTCCATGAATGTGTTTTAAAAACCGTTTTTAAGTTGTCCAAGTTGGCATCTTGTGATAGTGAATTTCATTGTTGAACTAGATACATGTGTCCTCCATGTGGTGATAAATGCATGTTTGCCACATCCACACATTTCATTTTAGATGTAGATTTTGAAACATTTTGACGTCTGTCTAAAAAGTATAACATGTGAAGAAATCCTTCATTTAATAAATTCCCCATTTCACCAAACTAGCCTCAAGAGCTACCAGGGACATGTGCCAAGTTTGTGACTTTTTTTCCTGTGGGGAAAACCCATATTTTCCAGTCTACCAAATGGATTGTATTCCTTTCATGTCTTTCCTAGCTTCAGCTACTTGCCCCAAAGTAATAGCTCTTCCCTGTTGTTTACTTAAAACAGAAGAGATGAAAGAATAGATGCACTATATAGATAATATAGAAGCACTAATAAGGAAAGAATAGATACACTAATATATCATCCTGTGCAAAAACTTGTTCCTCATAGGATGTGTGGATACTGAAGAAGCTGACATTTATTTTCTCATCGATGGTTCATCAAGCCTGGATTATTTTGACTTTGCGGATCTGAAACGTTTTTTAAAAGATGTGGTGAAATTATTTGCCATAGGACCAAATAAGGTTCGTTTTGGCGTTGTGCAGTATGGCCAAACCAATGAGCTGGAATTTGGACTTGAGGAGTACGGTAAGAAAGGTGATATATTGAAAGCTATTGATAATATCCGCCAACTGGGTGGGAGCCCTCACACAGGAGCAGCTCTGGCATTCATCCAGTCCTTGCTGAGAAGGTCCCAGGAGCAGCATCTCAGGAGCGTGCCCTGCCATCTTATAGTGCTAACGGACCAGGGTTCAGAGGACCATGTGGAGGCGCCTGTCAAGTGGCTGAAGAATGAGATGGTCAATATGTATGCCGTTGGTGTTAGACATGCTAACGAGTCGCAGATTTATGAGATTGCCACGTCTAAGGATCAAGCCTATTTTGTGAGTGATTTTGCCTCCTTGAAATATATCAAGAATGAAGTTGTTCAAGGCATCTGTGCTGCAGAAGGTAAGAGGGATAACAGATCAGTCACAGTAATGTTCAGACTTCATAAAAATCATTGTTCTCCAAAGAGGATAATGTAATGATGCTCCAAATCCAAGATGATGGTCCAAAATGCCAAGAGCAATGCCCTACAGTCTCTGAATAAACAAGTAATAGGAATACATACATGGATGCAGGATGATCCAATAGCAAGTGCAGGGGAGAAATCAGCTATAGTTGTGCAGTTTTCTATGTTCTGCTAGCTTACTGTGGGAGAAGGGAGAGGAAAGCTTCTTTAGTTATTTAATTTTGCTTTTCACTCCTGTGTTGTTGCTTTTAAGGATTACGTCCCATTGACATCAGTGGGAGCTCCTTGGCTACTTTCGGAGTTGCTTCAGGAGATGTGAAGGAAATGAGAGAGCTTTGGAATCAAGGGCTCCCCACTCCAACATGACCCCAAAAGCCCCCTAACACAATTAGAGCACCAAAAGCACAAGATGTGCAGAGGTTTAAATCCATGCAATGAAGAGTCTTCCAGCAATGAGCCCCTTTCTCAGCTTAAAGACCTCATTTCTATAAACAACAGACTTTTCTTGATGGGCCATTTTTGTATTCATCATTCCCTACATATGGATGACACCATGAGCCTCTAGTTCTGCTTCTGTGTCTAACCAACACTTTTGGTAAAGTTTTTTTTAGAGTAGGAAAAATTTACTCTGCATGAAATTTAGGAGAAATTTACTTGCCAGTGTGAAAGAAAGTGCACCTTCCTCCTGTGAATTTGTGCAACTTTGCTATACCACAGTGCCCCTTATAGGTTGTGCTGCAGAACAGCAAGAAAGGAAATGCTCCTTGTGCCCTGCCCAAATCTCACTTCTGTGACAAAACCAGATTGAGAGCTGATCAACAATTTCACCTAGAAAAGCTCCATGTCATGAGGTGCTTGGGACACTTCCCTGCCCCAGTCATGGATTATAGGATTGCTCTCTTAATGCCCTATTTCAAGTGCCTAAGAACTGAACCCTTATTATTTATATACCATCAATAGCTGAGGCTATTTGGATGATTTACAATGACATATAAAATGCAATATAAAATACAGACAACAATAAATATATCATAAAATTGCCAGATAAATTTTTAAACCCAAATTTAAAGCAAATGTAAAAAACTACAATCACTGAAACAAAATAAACCATAAAACATGTTTAAACAGTTAGCATAAGTCGTAATGTAATAGATAACTAATTAAATACCTTTTGGTAGAGGACAGCCTTAATTTGATGCAGAAAAGATATTACAGTTGGTGCCAGAAGGGCCTTGATAAAGAGCTTGTTCCATAACTGGGAGGCCACCACTGGAAAAGTCCTTCTTCTTGTTGCCACCAACTGAGCCTCCTTTGGAGGTGGCAGTCAGAGGCAGGGTGATGATCAACTGTATCTTGATCATACAGTCCAGGTAGGTTATAGTCGAGAAGGGCTTTCCATCAGGTGTTGTGGTACTAAACCATGTAGGGCTTCATAGATTAAAACTAGTACCCTGAATTGGGCTTGGAAGCAAGTAGACAGGCAATGCAAGTGGCCAGAATTGGTGTTACATGTTCAGACCATCTGGTCCCTGTTATTGCATTCCTAACAAGTCTAAAATTTGAAATACAACTCCATGGATCTTTTAAAGATGTAAGACTTTGAATTATAGATGGATTGCTTGGGGCTTCCCTTAGTTTATTATCTTCTATCTCTTTTGAGAAGCATTGATTTAAATGCCAGTTCCAATCCTGTTTTCCATTAGCGGTTGTGTGTCTTTCCCAAGGGAAATGATTTTTTTACTGAGATGGAAAACAAGATGTGACTAATACTGAATTCCTGTTTCCAAGATCCCCAAGCAAGAAAGGAACAATTCCCTGAGTCTGGACAATGGGGTTGTTACACAGTGCTTTGCCAGGCAACTAGAGACATGTTGAAACTTCTCACTGATCTCCACTGCAAAGTGCACACTTGAAAATTATCTTACACTGAAAAAATTAAGTTATTTCTAATACCCTCAAGCAAAATATTTCCCTTTAAGGTTGCTATCTTCTAAGTATTCATTTGGCATTCATTTTTCCTGTTGTTCCCACTAAAATAAATTATGCTAAAACCCATTTTCGCCAAGCTTTCTAGCACCTAGCAGTAGTGATAAAGAGGAAAAACGTTAGGGCACAATATGCATGTGCCCAGGCAGCAGCATTTTCCGAATTTGATTCAGTTCAGTTTGGTCTTGGCAAGTACAAAAACACTGGGTGTCTTTAAGGGCTTCTTTAGATCTTAGCCCTGATGGAAGTTACCAGCAGTCCCTGGGATCACATAACTGAATGCAGTGTGGTTCCTCTGTCAACATACCCAGATAGAGCCGCAAGCCAGCCTCGAGGGTAAGCATAGGAGGGCCCTTCCCAGGGTTCACACCTCAGCAGGAGCCATACAATTGCCCCTCCTTCACATATGCAGGTACTATATCTTACTTAATTCAGGGTGCATGTGTACGAATATGCATATTTTTAACTTTCAGCAATCCTGGGATAAGCATGCATTGATTGTACATGTGCTGAATGCTACATGTGAATAACTGTGTGTGGGACCTATGTGTGCAGAAGGTAATGTGTGGACATCCCTATAGGCCAGCAGATGGTTGGGTTTCAAAAACAAGGAATCCAGGGGAAAAAAAGGGGTCAGGTAAGATGAGGCACAGGAGCCTTTGGAACTGCTGCCTGCAGAAGCAATTAAGGCCAGCTGGGACTTCCTTTGGCCTTATAGATCACATGGCCCACTTGGGCTAATGAATTGCAGTACACCTTTCTGGCCATTATTTGGACTGCAGACCTACAAGGATCACTTTCATTCACCAATGCACCTTCCTTTTAAGGTGTATTTAAAAAAATCACAAGAATGTATTTCTTTGGGACTTAAATCTTGCAATGTTGTTTTTGTTGCTACCTGTACTGTATCAGGCCATACAGAAATGACTATATTTTCTGTACTGCCTGATAGCCAAAGCTCTGTAGTTTACAAAACCCTCAAATAAAACAGGCTAAAGCATGATATACAATCATTCATAGACAAACATTTCTAATGGTTTCAAACAGCTAAAAATAATATAACAATAAATATCAGGACCAAATCTGTGTTGTATGTTTAATTTAATTTAATTTAATTTAATTAAGACATTTCTATGCCATCCTTTGAAACAAGTCTCAGGACGGCTTACAGTACAAACAATAAAAATAGCGGTATAAAATACAATTAAACATTCAATAATAACACAGCATAAACAACAATTCATAACTAAAGAAAAAGAAAAGAAGGAAAGAAAGAAGAAAAAGAACATGCAACTGTGTAAGATTATTATTATTAAAATTATTGATATTATTAAAATGGTGGTTAAATAAAAAGGTCTTTACTTGGCGCTGAAAGGAGTAGAGAGATGGCGCCAGGCATACCACTCTGGGGAGTACATTCCAGAGTCTGGGCACCACAGCAGAGAAGGCACTACTTCAAGATGATGACCTTTTTACCTCTCTTAGAGAGGGTTCCTGGGGCAGGGCTTCTCCTGCAGATCTTAAGAGCTATGAGGGCATATTAGGAAGGAGACATTCCTTCAGGTAGCCTGCTCCCAAGCCGTTTAGGGCTTTATAGGTCAAAACCAGCACGTTGAATTGGGCCCAGACTTCAACTGGAAGCCAGTGGAGCTGTTAGAGGACTAGCATTATATGAGAACAATGGCTGGCCCCTGTCAGCAACCTGGCAGCTCTATTTTGTACCAATTGAAGTATCCAGTCCATTTTCAAGGGCAACCCCATGTAGAGTGCATTACAATAATCCAACCGGGAGGTTACCAGGGCATGTGTCACCGTTGCTAGGCAGAGCTCGTCCAGGTAAGGACACAGCTGTTGGATCAGCCAAAGCTGAAGGAAGGCACTCCTCACCACCACTGTCACCTGGGTCTCCAGGGACAGTATGTTGTTATATGCAGGTTTTTAAAAATACCATATATGAACTCAGACGATCTGGGTTCTAGTCCCCGCTCAGCCATGGAGCCAACTGGGTGACTTTGGGCCAGTCACAGACACTCAGCCCAACCTACCCCACAGGGTTGTTGTGGGGATAAGATGGAGAAGGAGAATAATGTAAGCTGCCTTGAGCCCTTTGTAGGAAAAAGGCAGGATATAAATCGAAAAATAAATAAATAAATAAATAAATAAATAAGAATTCTTTTACTTTTCGTCTAACAGCCTGCAAGGAAAAGAAAGCTGATATTCTCTTTCTGGTGGAAAGCTCTCATAACATAGGTCCTGAGAACTTTGTGAAAATGAAGAACTTCATGAGCGAACTGGTGATCAAATCTGACATTGGTCCTGACCATGTGCAGGTTGGTGTTGTCCAGTTCAGTCACAGAAATAAAGAAGAATTCCAGCTCAACCAGTACTCAACAAAAAGTGACATCATTGATGCTATTGGGAGAATGTCTCTTATGGGACAGAACACCCTCACTGGAGCAGCTCTGCAGTCTGTGTCAGGGTACTTCAAGCTTGCCAAGGGGGCACGGCCTTATGTCAAGAAAGTTCTTATTCTCATCACCGATGGGAAAGCACAGGATGAGGTGAAAAAATCTGCAAAAGCTTTACGAGATGAAAGTGTCATTATCTATTCAGTGGGCATGTTTAACGCAAATAAAACACAGCTGGCGGAGATAAGTGGGAAGCCTGAGATGGTGTTTTATGTGGAGGATTTTGATGTTCTGAAGTACTTAGAAAGTCAGATTCTCTTTGGAATATGTAGCCCTTATGATGGTGAGTAGAAAAGCAGTTTTCACATCATCCATAAATCTTCTCATATTCTGGCTTGGTTTCAGACTGCAGACTTCCAAGATTGTTGTCACAGCATCTCACAGCTGTTGGGGCAGAGAGAGCACATGCTTTTTCCTGGCTTCAGAATCAGAAGGGAAGAATTGCTACAGCACTGAGCTGAATGCTGAAGCGATATTGCTTGCTCTGCCCCCAGAATACTTCATCGGTCCTCTTGACTCACTCTTTGCTTTTCTTTCTCACTAGAGCAGGGAAAGGGAGCCTGAGATCCCAGAGATGCTGTTGTACTCCAGCTCCCATCAGCTGGGTCTGGCCAATGGTCAGAATCTGAGCCATGAATTCCACAGTGGACCAGCTTGCCCTGAGTAGGGTGGACTCTGCAGACTTACAGACCCTTTGGCAATTTTACACAAATTTAGTCATGAAAAAATATGTGCAATAAAAAACACTGACCAAAATGTGCATATTGCCCAAGGTGGGAGATGAGGGGAAGGGAAATTTCAACTGGAAAAGGGTTAACGTTACCTTGGTCTGCCATCCTCTCTTTTGCCTCTGGGTTTCTTCCCACAATGCAATTGGTAGTAAATGACCTGTATGTGTAGAGGAAGTCCAAACAGACAGTAGAACCTTAGCCCCCTCTTTGTCCTTAGTTAACCCCTGCAAATAAATAAATAAATAAATAAATAAAAATCTAATGAAATAATCTAATGTCCCTTTAAACCTGGATCTTAGAATAATTTACACCCATGCTTCTTGCTCATATGTGTATTTTCATAGTTGCTATAAAGTGTGCAGTAGTGCCAACATAAACTATATTCAGAGAACTGCTGAAAATCATAGGAGTGTCTTGCCTGATGAAAGATCCACCCCATTCTGAAAAGAAGGGTGCAAAATTCATTGGGTTGGATCCAAAGGTGCCCTTTCAGTTAGGACTGGAACCCAGATATCTTGAGCTCCAGTCCAACTTTCCAAGCACTACCCAGCACTTCTTTGGTGAAACATTTCTCAAGTGGAAAATGAGAGCTGCTGTTGAACCTATTACAGTACTTCATAAAAGTCTGTGTGCAAGCAGCAGTGCTTGTGGCTAATTTCCTTCCTTTCTCTGGGTTTGGATCCATGCCTTTATAGTGGGACATTAAGCTGTCTTATTAAGCTAATAGACATGACATGGAAGATATGTCTTAGGCAGTAAAATTATGTCTGCGGTCAGGGAATGGCAACAAAACTGTAGGATACATAAAGAAATACAACTGGAAGTCAGAAGGAGGGGAAAAACTAGACCACTAAGCCAGTTTGATAAGGCCCAGATGTGAAGGTTTTATTGAAATGTGCTTAATACTCCTTCTGGGAGAAACAGTTGAGCACATTGTAAGGCTTAGTAAAAGACTGACCTTACATTACAACTTGAATTCAAAAGAGTGTTTGTAAAAATGATTTCTGTGATAAAAATCATCATAAAGGAAGCACTTATCCCCACATCTGCTAATGAACTTCCAGGAGACCAAATTGGTCCTAACATTTCTGTCATACACTTATTTGACTTGCAAATAGAAGACATTGCAACAGATCCTTTCAGTGCTACATTATATTTATTTGCAATGGGACTTACATTTGGGGAAAATCTTGGGAATTAAAACAGTTGCAAGGACTTTGATTCAGTATAATTTCTGATGACAAACTGCTTCCATTGTTATCAAAGCTTTAAGAGCCACATAAATTTGTTCAAAGAGGGCATAAAGCAGCAGGAAAACCCTTGAACACTGTACCTTGGTGACTGGATTCCCAGAGTCCCTGTTGAATCCTCTCTAGTTTCCCATTACTTAAACCACTCAGGCAGTGGAGACTAGTGACTGCTATGCTGCATGCACTGTAGCCTTTTTTAACTTCCAGAAGCTATCCAAGGGGTGCCATGGTGGTGAAGCTATTTTGGGACTGGAGTTCAACATGGATCATCCCTAGAAAGCTCAGAATGAAAAGGTACAATGGTTCAGGAGTCCTGCTGACTTGGCATCATCAGCCATGCCTGTCTTGAGGTATACATGTCCTTCATGGAAACCTTGTAAGCATTCTTGGTGACTATTCTTGAGTAATTAATATAGTGACATAATCACTTGACCAACCAACATGCTGCTCTCCTTTAAGGAGGCTCAGAATTTACTCTCTGAGGCAGTCATCTCAATCTGTTTCATGGCAGAGCTAGAGAAAATATTGGTCTACAAAATACACACATGTCTAGCTTTAATCTGTGTAGCCTAAAACAGCATGGAAGTCTCAAACACTGAATCTTTTTGGGAGAAATCCAGTCTGATCCGTATTTATTTATTTATAAATACATTTATTTTGACATGTATTAGTGACTTCTCCTCCTCCTCCTCTTTCTAGAGTGCAGGAGGATAGAACGTCTTGATATTGTTTTCGTCATTGATGGTTCTGGAAGTATAGATCCCAAAGAATATGACATTATGAAAGACTTCATGATTGCCTTGGTAAAAAAATCTGACGTTAGCCGTGACCGAGTTCAGTTTGGAGCTGTCAAATACTCTGCAGAGCCAGAGACCTTCTTCTATCTCAACGACTACAGCACAAAATCAGCAATCATTAAGGCTATCAAGAATGATAAGCCTATCGGGCAGACAACCTATACCGCGAAGGCATTGCGACACTCAGAGCGTCTTTTCACCGAGGCTCATGGCAGCCGCAAACGCAGCAGCGTCCCCCAAGTTCTTATAGTGATAACTGATGGGGACTCCCATGATACAGCAGAACTTGATGAAGTGTCCCGGAGACTCAGAGCCCATGGCATTGTTATCTATGCTATAGGAATTGAAAGAGCAAAGCCAGATGAGCTCTTGACCATGGCAGGATCAGAAGATAAATATTTCTATGTAAATACATTTGAAGGGCTAAAACATCTCTATCGCAATGTATCTGACAGAGTATGCAGTGTCTCAAAACCAGGTAGGTTGCAATTATATTTTTTTTATTAAAAAGCTTCTGTTTTAAGCTAAGACTTGCATGAAAACTGCATCACCCTTTATTATTAAAGGCTGATCCACCTAACAGTAAAGATGGAGTGTAAAAGCAACTTCAGCCTAAGCCTTTGGAATTATAGTGTTGTCCTTTGCTTACTGCAAATGAGCATCCTTCTGTATTTAGTGGGGCTTACTTTAAGTAGGTGTGCATTAGATTGCAGTCTTAAACAGATTTATGGACTGTGCTCCTAGCATCCCCCATTTAGCTGTGCTCCAAAATATGGTTTACTGCCTATATTCTTAGTGACAAACTCACTGTAGAAGATCCTGTATACCATTGATAGTTGAATGGAAATATTTGCATGTCATATGATGCTGGACTCCTAATTCAAGCAGCAAATCATCACTCTTCCTTCCTGTTTAATCAGAGCATTGCAAGGTTTGGGCAAGAAACTTTGAAGGAGATTTCAAATCTCTCTGTGGGCAGCAAGTACTCCTCCTTATGGACTAGAACCTTCCTTTGCATGAAAGGCTGTGTATGAAAGTGCACATAATAGAGATGAGGACAACTTAATTTCTACTTTTGCAAATAATATGTTAGTTGGAACACACGTATCCACTTAACTCTGCATTTTGTAAAGCAGTTATCTGATAAAAGAAAATGTGTGTATTAGAGGAAATTGTGAATAAAAATATTATAAATGGGAAAATTACATATCAAATGTATATTTTACTGTAAAGTGATTGCAAAATATTAGGGGAAATTGAGCACAAAGGTGTGTGGATTTTTATGTGCACATGGTACATTATATTGAATTTTTATACAGTATTTGCTTAAAACTGCACTCTTATGTGAATGGGATAGAACAAACTTGTGTTTGAAAACAATGTGATCTATAGTAGAAAGCAAAACACAGAGACTTATCCATTCCAAGTACATAGGAAAGTGAGCTAAAACACAAACAAATCTAACTAGTCTATAATATTAATTTATTCTCCAAGATCTCATGATTTTTTGACATGCACTTGTCTATACATGTAATTAATTTCATTCCTTTCCCCCTGCTCCTTTGCAGAATGTGGAATTCCAGCAGATCTGGTATTCCTGATTGATGGGTCTAACAGTATAAGTGACAGTGACTTCACAAAGATGAAGAATTTTTTGCAAGAAGTAGTGCGCCCATTTGACACTGGCCACAATGTACAAGTCGGTATTGCTCAGTACAGTGACAGGTACCGGGAAGAATTCAGCCTGAATATTTTCCCACGCAAATCAGAACTTGAAACTCAAATTGGACACATTAGACAGATGGAAGGACTTCAGACATTCATTGGTGCAGCTATTGAGAGAGTGAAGCATTACTTTACACCAGAAGGTGGCAGCAGAATCAATGAAAACATCCAACAGATTTTGCTGGTGATCACAGATGGCAGATCACACGATAAAGTTGCTAAAGCAGCAGAAGATCTGAGAAAGAGAGGTGTTGACATGTATGCCGTAGGAGTAGGGAGAATTGACCATTTGCAGCTTAGTCAGATAGCTGGCTCCTCAGACAGGAAATACACAGTTGATAATTTCAGCGAACTGAAGGTAATTAAAAAAAGACTAGTTGATGATATTTGTGAGGAAGAAGATAAAACAAGTAAGTATTCACACTCAAGCATTCATGCAGTTAAATATTCCCTGTCCTTGGGACTTTGAGAAAAGTGGGGTATATGTCCATTCCTCCATCCAGCCACAAATTTACCAAAAATCCATCCTTGATCCATAAATGGTAATGATGACTATCAGTGAATGGCCAGAATGTGCTGTCCGTAAACTTTTTAATTGAGAGAAGCACTGTAGAAAAATGACAGCGATACTATCTCTAGCAAAAGCATGATTCATTGACAACTGATTGATGACTTATTTCAGTATCTGTCAATAAATTTTTGCAAAATCTGCCACAATGTTTAGAAATGACCAGTTTAGAGTAATGAAAGAGTCAAGCATCTGGTCTGATTTTAGATCTTTCAGTATTAGGTGTCCCAGTCTTCCTTTTAAGGTTGTGTGACTCACAGTGATTCTAAATCTCAATCCATATCCTTCACCTCCTGCCTTGTAATTATTTTTCCTTTGCTGTTTTTTCTACTATCCATTGTGTATAGTAATTGATGCTATTGCTATTTTCTCCTCAAAAAAAATCAGCATGCTTCATAGATGTTGTTGTGGGACTAGATGTCTCCTCACAAAGACAAGGTGACCACATATTCCACGGGCAGTCCCAACTGGAAACATACCTTCCTCAAATTATGCATGCCCTCACTTCGTTAACTAACGTGAGTTGTAATGTGGGATCACAGTCACAAACCAGTGTGGCACTGAAAGTGAGAAACATGGATCCACCAGTGACACCAAAGTTCCAGATTGACAGTGAAAAGCTTTTGAACAGTCTTGTGGGCACCACCATCCAGCATGCATCTCATCTGAATGTAGACTTCTTGGATTCCCTTTGGGAAACATTCCAAATCAAATCTGCAAATCGAAGAAAGGTAAGTGCTCTAGTTTCATCCTCATGCATTTACAACCAACAATATATGATACCGTTTTAGCAAGTCCACAAACAATTGTTCTAACTTTTTGTAGGTGGTACTGATATTTTCGGATGGCTTAGATGACAGCATAGAAGCCCTGGAACATAAGTCAGAAGAACTCAGGAAAAAAGGTACATTATGAGTTTGATGTAATCAGTATTTCATACTGCAAATTTCCTCAGGACCAAAACAGACATTGCTTTACTTTAAATAGTCATTACTTTAAATTCGTATCCAGCATCAAGGGCCCAATCCAGATTTTCAAAGCCCTGCTACCCTTTGAATCCGATATAGATTAGGGCCACTAGAATAAATATGAAAAGAATCTGCCAGATATGGATTTAAAATAATGTATGCCTTGGCAGCGCATGGCAAATGGATAAGAAATTCCTTGGCATTCAAGAGTTAGGAAATAGAGGCAAGGGGAGGGAAGGAAAAGGTGCAAATGTGAGCAGGGACACAGACATGCTTTTTGGCAAGATTCCTGAAAGTCTGTGCAAGGCCTGGAGTCTGGTTCCTCAGATATTTGAGGTAAAGCTCTTATGCTGCACAGTTATCTCTTCAAGCTATGATTATTACGCCATCTCCTAAGGCCAAACTCAGTGTCTTGGAGAAGTGATCCATGTGTTTCCCCATTTACAGTTAATGCCTGTGGGGACATTCCTCCCTGATATATGACCTCACTGCACACTGCTGCTTAACGCCTGGCTCTGATAGGTGTAAAGCTGCTGTACACAGTGAGGTGCGTGGGAGACTGCAGATTTTCCTCCTGACCCTTGTGCTTATTTATTTTTAGGTTCATTCTTTATGAATTTTCCTCTGTTCCTAACTTGATTCACTCCTTTCATTTCACCAGACAGCACAAGCACATCTCTGTAACCCAACAGAGCATCATTTCTTAAGGATGCAATCCTATCCATATTTAGACAGAAAAAGTCCTCACTTGTCTAAAAACCCTAAATTATAATATATTGAAGAAATTGCCTTGACTTTTTAAAATCCTTGTAACAAGCTTACAAATCATCATCGCTTTAAACAGGATTGGATGCACTGATTACTGTCGCTCTGCAAGGCGCTTCAAATGTGAATGACCTTCAGTATATTGAATTTGGGAAAGGATATGAATACAGGACACAGCTGAATATTGGAATGAGAAATATTGCCAGCCAACTGCTCAAGTATGTGGTAAGTAATACTCTAAGAACTAAGGTGCATACTTATCATTGCAGTCTAATCTTGTAAGGGTTTGCCCAGAAAATAAGTCCCAGGATGTTCCATTAGTCTTATGGTCAGGGAAGTTTGCACCAGATTACAAGCTTCAGGACTTGACTCTAGAGTAAATTTGTCAAGCTTATGGAAATCAATGAACTTAAAGGTGCAATCCTATGTTCTGAGGGGGCCAAAAGATAACCATCTTTTACTTTCCAGTGCTTGCTATTATTTAATCTAGCTGCTATTAGCAAATTAGTCAATCTTTAATATTTTGTCCCACTCATTCCCTAAATAGTGACAATAATGCTAGTCCAAGCTCTACTTCAATATTTAGATTCAATATTTTACTAATTTCTTTGAAAAGCATTTCCCAAAATTTATTTGTGTATTTACACTCCCATCCCATATGGGTCTCAAACACTTTGACCACAGTGTTGCAACCTCATTTTATAGGAAAAATTCTTCACAAATCCAATCTGGAGAACAACAGTGACACTGGAAGAACAACACAAAAAGCTACAATGCCATTATTTGCCATTTACTCCCTATTTTCCTTCAGGATTCCTTTAACTCCTTTGTCATACAACAGCCCAGCTATTTCCCTAGCTAGTTTCCTGCTTTTGATATATTTAAGGTCATGATCTGATGGCTGCTAAATGCTGTCTAGAAAAAGTTGGAACCCCAGGCCTGACCTTAGAAATCTGCTCTGAGGTCAGAGCTGGGATTTTGTATTGAAGTTCCCTTCCTTCTCCCTTGCAGTTGGCATGAAAAGAACCATGCTTGTTGTGGCTCCGAGGTCAGAAAACTGAAATCAGACATGGGGGAGTGGGGAGTGGGGTAGAGAGTGGAGGAGTAAAGCTCCACCAGCATACACTGTATCCTAGTGGTGCCTTAGCCTCAGGGCAAAAAACTTAGTTGAAAACAGCTAAGTCTTCTGCAGGACTGCTACACTCCTGAAACCCTCCATCAAATGACTGTTACCCTGCAAGTTCAGAGGGTTACAGAAAGCATCACTGGATTGCATGTTAATTAATGGTTTTAATGTTATTAGTGACACACTTCTCCAAATCCAATTCTGCATTCTTTTTTGACTTTTGTGAATTTCTTTTGTGCAAATCTACTTTCTTTTTTGCTCTTGTTTGGATAACACTTCCAATTACTGCAGGAAGATCTCTCCCTCCCTCCCATAACCAGGTAAACTTGTGGACTTGGCGGTACCTTTCTTAATCTGTGGTATGCATTCTAGCTGCACGTCTGCTATTGCAGTTTTGGGATTTCCAAGAGTTCTGGAAAGATTTGAGCTTCTTGACTTTCCTTTTAAACTACCTTTTCACCAGCTCCCTCATTCCGAGATGTTTCCTCTTTTGAAGCCCAGTGTATCTGTGTGGGACTTGGCAATTTTCCACTTACATATGCATCAAGTTGATAGCACTAGAGTTGCTGTTTCTGAATGATTCAATAACACACATCTAGCAAAAGGGCACCATTTTGGAGTCAATCCAAGATAGCCTCCTCTTTGCTGGCTCCATGACTAATTCTACTACAGCACGGAAATTTAGGTGCAGTCCTATCATGTGTATCATCCATGCTCATAAACTCCCAAACTTGGAGGCTTACAAGCACGCAGTGAAGAGAGGAAAGACTGCTGGAGGTGATCTCTGTCTTCCTGTACATCTCTGAATTTCAATTAGAGAGCCATTTTCAGCCATCTACTTGAGGTTCTTCAGAGGGGAAGAGAAGGAGACTGGAGCATCATTACGATGACTCATATCTTGGTGGATATAGGTCTTTTTCTGTTTAAACAGGTATAGGATAACACCTTAAAACACGCTATTGTTTTTTTTTTCTATAGCATGACCAACTTTATTTGAATTGAAATCAACATGTTACAGATCTGACAGTAACTTACAATAGTACATATTTAAGAACCAAGCAGAGAACTCATGTCACTATGTGATATTGTTCTAGAGGTCCTGTATAAACAAAACTTTGACCAATTGTACTTCTTTTCCCAAGACCAACACTGCTGAACGAACATGTTGCTGTGTGTTTTGCAAATGCATTGGTGAAGATGGAAAACCTGGAGGCCAAGGAAGACATGGGAAGCAGGTAAGGCTGATGCACTGTCATCTTGTATATGGATTTTAATCTGAGAGAAATGATCCAGGTTTCCAAAAAGAGAAAAACTCTGATAGTTGCACATGCTTAAATAGTTTGATTTTAATAATGCTTCTTGATCTTCATTTCAGGGTCTTCAAGGTGTTAGAGGAAGCCCAGGACATTTAGGAGACGAAGGGGAACCTGTAAGCTTTTAAGATACACTTGAACATTTGTGATCTGAAAAAGGATTCTTTCAAAACTATAGTTCAGAGCCAAAGAGCATGTAATGACTTTTCCGTGGCCTGAGGGAGCAATGTGCCGAAAAAATCCTTCTCTCTCTCTCCCCTCTCTGTCTGCGTGAGGGGGGGGGGAGAGGGAGAGGGAAAGTTCAGCTTTCTAGGGTGACTTTGACATTGTGTTGCTGAAACAGGACTTTTTCAGCAACCATGTGCTATGGCAAACTTGTTTGGCACGTTAGGGAAAAGTGGAGGATAGTTTGTGACTAAAGGTGAGAGTAGTGTGTGATGTTCTAAGAAAAAAGAAAAGTCAAAATGCACTGTTTTCTTGTGTGTGGGTTGAGGGTGCGATGGGAGGGACAGTGTTTCACTTGTATCATGTTCTTTGCTTCTGGTATCTCAAGAATTATGCTTAAATTGCAGGGTGGTTAGTCTTATGATTATTTAGGCATTGGCTTGGGTCTGGAGCACACTGGACCGAGCCACCTACTCAGTAGGGCCACCATCCCCACCTTGCCTGTTCCAAGCCTTTGCAGCCTTCCTGTCCCAGCCTTCCTGTCCCTTCCTGTTCCACTCCTGCAGGTTGGGGCTGGGGTTGGTACATGATGAAATGCGGGGAGGGTAGTCCAGCTTGGAGGAGAGATCTGATAGAAATGTGTGAGGGGAAAAGACTCTATATCTCAATTCTTAGGTAGGTCAGGGAAGGGAGGGGGATTAAGAGAACCGTGGCTTGCCTGTGATCTGTAGGGTCACATGTAAAGTTAGACTGGAGTGATATACTTTTTGGCTCACTCTTAGCCACTGCTGTGCCAGCTTTCCTTGGACTAATTTAATGTGGAATATAAATTGAGTAAATAAATAAATATCAGATCACATCCTGTTGCTCTTCTGGATGATGATGATGCTCAGTCTTTTGGGTAAGCCTTTCTGGTGTTTTCATGTAGATGTTGAGAAGCACCCTTGGGCTGTTTCTGCCTCGATACACACAAATCTTTTCTCTGTGTAGAGGGGAACATGGCTCAGTGGTAGAGCTCTTGCTTTGCAAGCCAAAGGCCCCAGGTACAATCCCTGGCTTCTCCAGGTAGGGCTTGGAAATGATTTTGTCTGAAACCCTGGAAAGTTGTGGCCAGTCTGTGTCAACAGGACTGGGCTAGCTGGACCAATGGTAAGGCCCAGGAAAAGGCAGTATCCTGTATTCCTTCCGCTCCTAACTGTGACATTCATGCTGTTGTCATCAGGGTCCAAGGGGGATGCCAGGACCAAATGGTGATAGAGGCTATGCAGGTTGCCAAGGCGACAGAGGACCAAAGGTAAGGATCTGCTGCAGATGCTTTGTTTTGAACTTCTAGTATAATGTCCCCTATAATCATCTTGTTTATAAAGCTCATTCAATTTGCATTTGCTCTTCTAATCCTTTCTAGGGCCAGAGAGGAATGACCGGTGCAAAGGTACATGAACTGTCATCCAAAATACTGCATGTTTATTTTTATTTGATATGCTTAAATGTATTATCCTGTTTCAACAACACTGCCCCCCTCCTCCCCCATCTCTGGCACTGATAGTACTTTGAAGTTATTGTTAAATATGACCTAAACATTAACATTAATCTGTTCTTCCAAGGAAACTGTAACAGCATCTAAGAATGCCACAGTATGAGACATCAAAAGTTAAGTTTGTGGCCATGAGGGAAAAGTTCACTTTTTGAAAAGAACTGCAGCTTTGCGAAATGGCAGCATCATAGCTCATGAGGTTAAGAACTTGCCAAATTTTACAGAAAAGGACTTTAAAAAATAACAGTCAGATGTGTGAGAAAGCAAAACTGAGGAATTTGTTCATTCAGACAGAGCTTATTTTAACTCATTTTTATTCTTTTCACTTGCCCATCATGTTCCATCGCCCTTCCCCCACATTAGATCCAATAGGAGGCAGGGGTGATGCTCAGAAAAATCCAGGTCTCAGGGAAAAAAGCAGAAGTTTGCAAATACTAATGCGCGTCTTAACTCTGTGTGTGTCTTTAAAAGATCCTGTGTGCTGAAGGCACCCATATTTGTTAAAAAGGGATGTATGGATTGAGGGAAGGTCATTTGATTTCAGGAGAAGACCTCTGGAAGAAACCTTCAGTGGGCAACATCCTGTAACAGGATGTGGGCAACAGGAGGTGAAGAATAAGTGAGCAAAAAGTCCACTAGTCCAGGGGGAATCAGGTGCAACAGAGACTATTAGGGCTTTCTTTCAGCAAATGCCCACTGACAGCAAGATGGTGGGGCAGAGGGCCTCTCATCCTGTCCCCTAACAACCCGTCCAGTTGCAGCTCTAGGGCAGGCATAACTTTGCTGCCCTGGGAGAACAGTCCACTTCTACACCATCCACAGCATGCCCCTTCCTGCCTTCTCTGAGGTGGAAACCCTGAGGCAAGGGCTTCAAGTTTTCCACATTTGCAGGCTGTGACAGCAGACTTCATCCTCAAGAACAGACATGTCTCTCTCTGGCCTTTATCTTATGCCTTCCCAGGGAAGAGAGAATTGCAAGAGTGGGAATAAGAGGTCTGTCAGATGTTGTTGGACTACAGTTCCCAATATCCCTCTCACTTGGTGTGCTGGCTCTGGCTTGTGGGAATTGCAGTCCAATGATATCTAGAAGGCCACATGCTCCCTCTCTCTGGTTTAAAATGATTATTGGTTATTGTTAGAGAGATAAATGGTGGGCTTTAACTGGAGTAAATGCAAGCTGGTTGAATGGCAGGAGCAAATGCTCTAGATCTTTATTTGGAATGATGTAGAAGCAGTGTGGGAAAATAGTAGTTATGGTACTTTACAACTGTGTAAGCTGTACCAAAGTTGGTGGGACTTATGTCTGAATAGGCATCCATAGGATTACACTGCAAGTAGTGTAGAAATAGTTACATGAATGTCAGTCACAGAAGTTCTGAAGAATTTTCTGGAAGTTGCAGCCAGAAAGGGGAACCTATACGCAGACCACTCCACATTGTGTCATTATTCATATGCATGTCCAAAAATGTGAATCTGCCCTTAGATCAGTGTGAGGAACTTGCAGCTCTCCAGATGGTTTGGCCTACAAGTTCCATGATCCCTCACTATAGACTATGCTGACCAAGGCTGATGGGAGTTGAGAGCCAAGTTTATCTGGAAAGTCACATGTTGCCCACTCATGGTCTTAGTAGTGGTGAATTGGACTGTATAGTTTCTTTAAGCAAAGAAGAATGCAAACTAAAATCTGAATATAGAAAGGGAAGTATTTTAGGAAAAAAATGGCTATGTGTCTTTTTATTATTCTTATCAAAAAAGCAGCTATACCAAAACATTCTTGATAGAAAAATGTATTTGGGATGTAACTCCTGGTATATTTGTTCTTGCAGGGAAACAATGGGGATAAAGGAATTGATGGCGTTAATGGAGAGCCCGTAAGATTATTGACTTTTTCCTTTCAGCATTGAATTAGATAATTATTATTTTTTACATGAAGCAAACAACATACAATATTTATCATGTATTTTAAGGGCTCTTCTGGGCTTCCAGGAATTAAAGGAGAAAATGGTGATCCAGGCAATCAGGTAATTTAATCCTATGTAAAATATATTTCTGTTCAATTTGCACAGAACTGTGTGATTAGGTATTTACAGGTGGGAGCTGTAATGTTGCAGCATGGAATACTGCTGTTCAGCATTGCAGTAGCTCTACTGCATTCCTCCCCCCGCCCCCGCCCCCACAAATCTCCCATTCCCCTCTCCCCCATTAAAATCAGTCAGCTTTCTGTGACTGCTGCTCATGTTCAGCCTTGGTTGAGTTGTTTGGTTTCCCTGCTCCGTGATGTTTTTGGACTCCTCCAACCCTTGGGGTGGCCCTGGGCCTGTTGATAACGTTCTCTTGTTCATGTGTGGTGCCAGTTTGGCTGTATACACAATGGCATTTGTGACCTAAAGATTGGGAATAGAGAGAATGATACCACAGTCTTGAAAGAAATGTTCCTAGGAAAGCTTCAAAGCAAAAACAGAGAAATAATCATAATAGTCGAAAAGTTGGTTTTTATTTTTTTTAAGGCTAAAAATTTGAGAAGCATCATAAAGTATTGCAATGCCTGGGAGAATAAAAAAATCCCAGCCTGAAAAGCCAAGAGGACATCAAAGTAGAGGCATAGCCAACCTCTCTGGGGGTTGTTTTTAATCTCATAACCTTGGAAAATGTGTATTTTCATTGGGTCGAAATCAGAAGTGAAAGAGAAACCACTATCGCTTGAGTCCATCTGTTGCCAAAGACATCCGTCACATAAAATTAAGACTGCTCTTTTATCTTTTTTTTCTAAACCTCTCTCATGTTTTATTCTTTAAGGGCAGCCCAGGACCAAGGGGATTCCGTGGTGAACGTGGTGAGAAAGGTTTGCAAGGAGAACCTGTAAGTTTTTCCAAGTGGGAGAGAAGCCCATTCAGTGCTTATTACCTTAGTTTTTCAACTTTATCTCCCATAATACCTAAATTTTTGGGGGCAGCATGGGCCTACCCCCTTCTCCGATTGTGTCAGCCCTCTTAGCTATTACTGTGTATCTGTATCTATATAGTGTATGCATAAATGTGTTAGAAAAAGAGAGAGAAAGAGAGAGAGAGAGAGAGTGCCCCCTGTCTATGAATATAGAAACTGTCTTCTAACTAAGACTAGAGATGATGTTTTTGCTCCTGCTTTCAACTTTGGGAAAAAAATACTTTCAACTTTGGGGGTGGGGAAAACTTTCAACTTTGGGGGGGAAAAACATGCATTCTTCCTTTGCCAATTATGAAGAAAAGGCAAATTTTGATTCATTCTAATAAAAACGATCTGAAATGAAAGTTTCAACCATCCACACTGGCCCAATTTAATTGGTACAACTATTCCCAGTGTGGAAGAGATATGATGCACTTGCCTGTCATGTGGTTATTAGAGTCGAGAAGCTTTCAGAGACAAGAGATTGCTGAAGGAATAGGCAGATTTGTAAGGATTCAAACTCAGACTTGTAAGAGCTAGGTGCCCAGAGCCATGGGCTTGGATGGACAAACACGACAGCTCTGGTCTCCCCAATATTCTTTTTCTGCTACAGGGCTGGGTGGGGAATCCTAAGTTCTTCCTATCCTGAATATGAAGAAATGATGGTCAATTCTTATAAAAAAATGAACTGAAATAAAACTCTCACCAATTCCTATCCAAGATCTCAAAACAGTTTAGGAACAAAGGAAAGAAAATACATGTGACAATAAGTAAATTAATCATTAAACACAATTCACATCCAAGGCAGCAAGACCCACTGCTTAGTGATCAGTGAATGTCCACCAAAAACTTTTAAAATTTTTAATATGTGCTAAAAGCACATAAATGTTGGCTCCTCTTCACCGGGGGAGGGAAGGCAGAATTCAAGAAGGTAGGTGGCATCTTCTGTTTTCTATCTGTCTGTCTGTCTATTGATCCTTTATCTAGTGTCACTGCTAATATTTGCCCAGAATTTTTAGACCACTCTTGTAACTTGGATGTGTGTATAAGATTTTAGTATTAATCACTTGGATGTTATGGATACATGAGTGGCAGAAGAGAGAACTTATTACAGTCAGTTTGATCGATTATATGGCTGTTCTTTACCAGAGATTCAGGCTACATTAGTGCCATCTTTTAATTATTAATCTGCAATAATGTTTGCAGATGATAATTCATTTTGGAAAATGTCTTAACAATATGGCAATATTAACATCTTCTTTTCCTTTGTGTCTAGGGTAATCCTGGATCAGGTAGTAGCATAGCAGGACCCAAAGGTATAAGAGGGGAAAGAGGAAAAGAGGTAACCTGCTATTTTTACATATTTCATTATCACATATCTATGAAAAAATAGTTTCCATAGAAATATGATAAATTGAGTGTGTGATATGGTGCATTATTTATATAACTCCAGCAAGCCCTTCTGACCCACTCCCTTCCAAGAGCAAACAAGTTATCTGTGTTTGCTGCTATGGATGGAAGCCTCCGTTTTGCATGCCATTGCTCAGTTCACACATTTCCAGTGGCGTGCTTCATAGCAGCTTGCCTCTTGCTGAGACTTTCCAACAGCCTCTTTTCTGCAAGAAGGAACATTTATTTCTCTGCTGCCAATTCCTGGCACAGTTCTGTCTGTGAGCATCACATACCCGGTTCCAATGGCTTCAATTATCCCCAAAAACTTCTGCTTCCCAAAGAGCTCCACTGCCTGGCACCTTTCTTTCTGGAAATTTCACCTCAAAACTCACCTTTTTGTGATGTCTTTGGCTCAGTGCACTGGCTTTTCTCAGCATTGGCTGAATACACTGGCCTTTCTCTCAGGCATTTGGCAGCATATGATGGCATTTTAATTGGGTCTTGATCTGCTCTTTCAACTGTTTAAAATTGTTTTTAGAGAGAGAGAGAAATGTTAATCTCTTACGGTATGTAGTACTTTCATATGTTTGCACGTGTATTGTTTTCTGATGTATTTTTAAGGTTTTAATGTCTGCAAACTACCCAGAGAACTCTTGCTATTGCACAGTGTAGAAATGTAATACATGAAGTCCCCTTGCAACTAACAGTTGCATATTCTTTCCCTGCTTACTTCTGCTTCTATTTCCTTCTTTCCTGGTAGACCTTGAAGACCCTCAGAAAAGGAATCTGTTTTCATGTTTTCCAAAATACCACACACACACACACACGTACAGATGTATCATGGACAGATGGACTAGGTCTTCAGAAGCACTAACTGGAAATTGGTGAAATATTAAATTTAAATATTGAAGTTGACCCTAGCTTAGCATCATTGTTATTTTTTAGAGAACAGATGGGACAAAATACTCAAGAACTGATGATAAATTTATTAACAGCAGTAAGATTAATAATAGCAAGGAATTGGAAAACAAAAGGTGAATATCATATAGTTGGCTGGTATAAAGAAGTCTGGAATATAGCTATTAATGATGTTAACTGGTGATATTAAATGGAAAAAAGGTTTGACAAGTGCAAATAAATTTGAAATTATTTGGAAACCATTTACTGAATACTGTGAAGGGTTTCCTACTCGGGAGCAAGCCAAGGGAGACGTGCTGGTGGGAATGAAGAAAGAGTGAAGCTGACACCTGGGG